GGGAATTCTGTCCCAGCGTTTCCAGGAGCTGCGGCTGCGGGATCCGGGCGCGGCCGTGGAGGAGCAGCTGGAGGGAGCCCGGCGCCGCCTCAGCCAACTGCAGCTGAAAATCCTGCAGGAATCGCAGGGATCCGCGGTAATCCCGGAATTCCGGGAACCCCACCCTCAGTCCCGCTTTATTCCCACTTTTTCCCTCTTTTTTCCCACTTTTCTCCCATTTTTTCCCATTTTTTTCCCATTTTTTTCCCATTTTTTTCCCATTTTTTTCCCATTTTTTCCCCATTTTTTTCCCATTTTTCTCCCATTTTTTCCCATTTTTTCCCATTTTTTTCCCATTTTTTCCCATTTTTTCCCATTTTTTTTCCATTTTTTTCCCATTTTTTCCCATTTTTTCCCATTTTTTTCCTGCTTTTTCCCACTTTTTCTTGCTTTTTTCCCACTTTTCCCCATTTTTTTCCCATTTTTTCCCACTTTTTCCCATTTTTTCCCATTTTTTCCCATTTTTTCCCATTTTTTTCCTGCTTTTTCCCTCTTTTTTCCCAGTTTTTCCCACTCTTTCCCACTTTTTTTTGCTTTATTCCTACTTTTTCCTCCTTTTTTCCCATTTTTTTCCCACTTTTTCCCATTTTTTACCACTTTTTTTTACTTTTTCTCACTTTCTCCGAAATTTTTCCCACTTTTTTTTGCTTTACTCTCACTTTTTTCCCACTTTTTCCAGAATTTTCCCCAAATTCCCAGAATTCCCTCCATTCCCGCCTTGGGAATTCCCGGGATTCCTCCCGGAATTCCCGGTTTTTCCCAGGATCCGGGGTCCCCGCGGCTCCGGGCTGGATTTTCCGGGAATTCCCAGGACGGGGAGGAGGGGCCGGAACCCGAGCGGATCCCAAAGCCCGGAGAGGTCAGGGGGGATCCCGGGGAAATTGGGGAAAATCCGGATTTTCCCGGGATCCGGAACCCCAAAAAATCCCAAAAAATAAAAAAAAATCCCCCCCAAAAATGCCCAAAAAATCCCCCAAAAATCCACTAAAAATCTCCAAAAAAATCCCAAATAAATCCCAGAAAATCCAAAAAAGTCCCCAAAAAATCCCCAAAAAATCCCAAAAAATCCAAAAGAAAATCCAAAAAAAATTCCCAAAAAAATCCCCAAAAAATCCCCAAAAAATCCCCAAAAATCCCAACAAAATCCCCAAAAATCCCCCAAAAAATCCCTCAAAAATTTTAAAAAAATCCAAAAAAAATTCCCAAAAATCCCCAAAAAAATCCAAAAAAAATGCAAAAAAATTCCAAAAAAATCCCCCCAAAATCCCCCAAAAATCCCAAAAAAATCCCAAAAAATCCCCCAAAAATTAAAAAAAAATCCAAAAAAAACTCAAAAAAAATCCCCAGAAATCAAAAATTAATCCCCCAAAAATCCCAAAAAAATCCCAAAAAATCCCCCAAAAATTAAAAAAAAATCCAAAAAAAACTCAAAAAAAATCCCCAGAAATCAAAAATTAAATCCCAAAAAAATAAAAAAAAAAATCCAAAAAAAATCCCCAAAAATCCAAAAAAAATCCCAAAAAATCCCCAAAAAATCCCAAAAAATCCCCAAAAAATCCCCAAAAAATCCCAAAAAAATCCCAAAAAATTCCCCAAAAAATCCCAAAAAATCCCAAAAAAATCCCAAAAAATCCAAAAAAAATCCCAAAAAATCCCCAAAAATCCCCAAAAAATCCCCCCAAAATCCCAAAAAATCCCAAAAAATCCCAAAAAATCCCCAAAAAATCCCCAAAAAATCCCCAAAAAAATCCCAAAAAATCCCAAAAATCCCCAAAAATCCCAAAAAATCCCAAAAAAATCCCAAAAAATCCTCAAAAAAATCCCAAAAAATCCCAAAAAATCCAAAAAAAATCCCAAAAAATCCCAAAAATCCCCAAAAATTCCCGATTTTGGGGGGATTTTGGGGCAGGGAATTCGGGAAGGGAGGGGAGGAAATCCGGGATTTTTGGGAATTCCCGGAATTCCGGGGTTTTTTTTCCCACAGAGCAGCTCCAGGAAGGAGAAGGAGCAGAAGCAGAATCCGATCCTGAAATACATCGGGAAACCCCGGGGCGGCTCCCAGAGCGGTGAGTGACGCCGGAATTCCCGGAATTCCCGGAATTCCCGGCATTCTCCGGCCCCCAGGGGTTCCCAGGGATTGGTTGGGGAGAGGGGGAATTTCGGAGAAATTTGGGGAATTTTTGGGGGATTTTTTGGGAATTTTTTGGGGAATTTTTTGGGAATTTTTTGGGATTTTTTAGGGGATTTTGGGGGGATTTTTTGGGAATTTTTGGGGGATTTTTTGGGAATTTTTTAGGGGATTTTTGGGGATTTAATTGGGATTTTTTAGGGAATTTTCCAGGGATTTTCCAGGATTTTCTTGGGC